GGAATACCATCCACAACCCCAGTGCATAAAAGTTCATGTATAGCTCAATACAAAAATCAGTTTTAATAGAAATAGCCACAAATAATCCAGAGTGGTGACCACCAGTACACCCAGTAGAGTGCTGCTCATCTTGGGCTCAGATCTGGACAATAGGTCTGAACAACACCGTTACCCCATTTGTTGTAGATCTGGGTGACAATCTATCCTTAATGGAGTCCACTGGGTATAATCCTCTTATCCAAGCGCACATGTATTCCCAGGAAGCCTTTTTCACCCTTTTCACTGAGAAAGAAAGTGAGGGGAAATTCAACATTTCAGAGCTACCCCCAGAACAAGAGGTGAGAAGCAATCTTCTAATGGGGACACCTGTTCCAAGTATAACTTTCCAAAAGGATAATTCCCCTCAATTGTTATGGAGATGAGGAGAGATGTTCTGCAGTCATGCAGGGTGACAATGCTGATCCTCAATATACTCAACGAGTGAATGTTGTCACCCTAGGACAGAAAGTATATTAATGGTAGGATAACCAGGCAAAAACTAAAGAAAAAAGCTTGAAAAAAAGAAAACGAATGCGGCCACCACATCTATAGATTGGTAAACTGCAATATATAACATTTTTTGCTTTTAGGTGTACAGTATATATATATATATTTTTTTTTTTAATTCCTACATTTTATGTCTCCTGTTACTTACTATTCTCTGGTGTGTTAGGATTTTCTTTTAGTGAGGCCAATCGTTTTGCTGGAGTTACAGTTTTGCTGCTTTTGTCTTCTGTTTTTTTGGGTGTCTGTTTACCAAATGGCGATCTCCATCGTTGGCCACCTTTTTCTTTTGGTAGAAGGGGTTGTTCGGGGGATTGAAGACTTTTGCTTCCAGTTACCTCTGGTTTGATTGGAGTAGGTTTTGTGTTTGTTGCATCAGAGGAGTTTTCTTCAACCACTAAAATATCAATAAAGGGTTTTTGGTGAGCAGAAGAGTAATATGAAAGGATTTGTTTACAAACACTACTCCACTCATAAAAAGTGCAGAAAAGTGATCATGAACATAAACAGAGAGATTGAAACAATTCTATGAAGAGGATTTATCAAAACTGGAGCAGAAAAAAACTGGAGCAGCTGTGAATAGCAACCAATCAGATTCTCTCTTTAATTTTAAATTCGTAACTGGACAAACTGAAGAGAGAAGCTGATTGGTTACTATGGGCAACTGCCCCAGATTTTGCATGCTCCAGTTTTGATAAATTCCCCTCTCTGTGCTTTTTAATTTTTAGGTTTTTGTTGTTTTTGAGGTATTTTACAAAAGGAGCCAACAAAAAAAAAGAGTTCAAAGAAAACCTTAAAAAAAATGTAAGGATCCACCGACGCAAGCATGTGCCCCCTGTTAGATGTGTAAAAGTTGTGCTTTTGCTCTTTTTTTTTAATGTAATGTGTAAACTACCTCTAATAACAACAACAATATACACCAATAAATATGCCAAAAGAGCACAAGGAAAATGAAAAAAAAAATCTTTAGCCTCTTCTCCAGAGAAAATTTTTAACTAATGTTACCATCTGAATTTTTGGGAGGAGGACCAATGGTGTATAATGCTTTGAAGTAGATTTTATAAACGGCAGATTTGTAATTTCTCTGTAAACTAGACTCCAAAAACATTTTAGAATTCATCAAAAAAAAAAATAGAAAAGGGAGAAAAGCAGGAGAAACAGCCCTACCGTGTAGTACGTATGTTTCAATATATCACAAGCTTGTATCAGATAAACAGGATGTATATGTCCCTACATCTGTACAGTGGTTTGAATGGTTGTGTCCCACTGCTGGTTGGTAACTGATATGAAGGTATGTTGAGAATGTCTTCCCGCAGACCATATCTGGTGGATAGCGCTCTAGGTATGAGGATACCGTTAGACCTCGTTGGTACTTCGAATGTAGCAGTCGTAGTTCAACAGAGAACTCAGGTTGTATGAAAAAAAACAAAACCTCCATGCTTGCAAATGATATGAAGGTATGTTGAGAATGTCTTCCCGCAGACCATATCTGGTGGATAGCGCTCTAGGTATGAGGATACCGTTAGACCTCGTTGGTACTTCGAATGTAGCAGTCGTAGTTCAACAGAGAACTCAGGTTGTATGAAAAAAAACAAAACCTCCATGCTTGCACAAAGCACAACCCCCCCCCCCCA